TAGCTTCGAGGAAAAAAGGCTCCTGAACCTCGTCGTTCTGTGTTTTAATCGGACCAACAGATAAACCAAAGCCATGCTGATCCTGTAGAGGATTTTCACAGATCTGGCCTGTAGGAAATGTGACTCAGCGTCAGTTTATGAACTATTTCCCACTTTTTTAAATAAATCAATTTCTACTTTTTCCTTAAATACTTCAACGCGACAAGTTCAAGTCTCTTTTTTCCCGTACAATCTGGCATTTCCTAGAGGATTTTCTTATCATTTACAGCTTAATTCCACCAATGTTGGGGGAGATTTATGACATTTAAGAACATAATTAAAACATTTTCCTGACAAGCCACCAACCAAACCAAAACGAAACACACCATCCACAATAAAGGCCACAAATCCCTCCAAATAAAAACCCCTGTTATGATTTAAGAGAAGATCCTGATTTCCTCACTGCCTCTAGCTTCTGTGGCTCTTTTTTAAACTAAGTACAACTTTCCTTCCTTTCCTTTCAGTCATGTCTGTAGCTGGTCAACATTCCTCCCAGAGTGCTGCTCCAGTCCTGATCTGGTTCTGCTCCTTCAGGGATCGTCATCTGGCTTCGCCCCACATCCCAGAGTCCACTGCTGCTATAAAAGCATTAAGACGTGAGGAACGTGGGACAGTATTTCATTCAGCAGCGAGCTACAGTGGCAGCAGCTGCTATTTAGAGTCCATTCAAAAGCTCGGAAGCGATCGGATGTTTAATGTTTGAAGCGTTCACGGCGAGCGTCGCACACGTCACACCTGCACTTTGGACAACACTGTTGGGACATGTTGAGCCTCTTCACAGTTGGTCTGTCATCATTTTGTGCCTTCTTCTACCTCTGTCACACCTCTTTGCTGCCATTGTTACTCACTTTGTCGTACATCTCTCTGTGATAATGTGACTAACTTCCCAAGCAGAACAGACACCGTGAGGCCTCTGAGTCGAGGCTCAGTCGGTCCATCGGTAATCCTCTGACGGCCTCAGCTGCACCTGGAGCTCACAGCTGATCAGTGAAAGCAGACACGCTGCTGAGCTGAGGTGCTGATCAAGGTAAACATCGTACCTGTTTGGCATTAGCATGGCGGCGTGCTAACAGCTATACTTCCATTGTTTTTTTCCCCCAATTTAGAGAAAATCCAGAAAGTCAGCGCCTGGTTCCATCCACTGCTCTGCTAAGAACATGAAGTTATCGTCAAATAAACAACAACGATTCTCTAACTGATGCCGTTAAGAAGAAGAAGAAGAAGCAGAACAGAGGACGTCGACTAAAGAAGCCCAGCTGATGGTAAAGACATTCACATAACTACTGAAGAATATAACAGACAAGTTCGCTGCTGTTGGTCATCACTATCTGTAAAGTTCACACGTGACTTTTTGGCCACGACTACAACTTCCTCGACACGCTAGCTTGGACCATAGACGATATAAAAGATGGACGTAGCAACCAGCCCTGAAAAATGAAGCCAACCCGGAAGTGTCAGAAACCTGCAACATCACTACGTCCACTAGCTGCTGGCTCCACAAAGCCCTGGCTCCCATAGACCAATCTGAAAATAAATCAATACTGAATTTTAAAAAAATCATCAACATTTTGCGGGGCAAGGGGCGTGGCTGGCTTGATTGACAGTCTGCAGCGACCATACAGATGAACCGAGCAGAAGTCGGTAAATGTGGGCGGGGCAGAGAGGGCCCGCCTCTCAATCCGTCTGACCAATCGCTGCTCCTATGGCTCCGCCCCCCTCCATCGATTTCTGCGTCACTGGCTCCAAAAATCCAAGATGTCAACCAGGAAGTAGCAAAACCCTGGCTTCATTTCAACCAACGGGTGACGTCACGGTAGCTACGTCCATCTGTTATACAGTCTATGGTTTGGACTCAATGATCAGTAAACACCAGATAAGTCAGACTTAAAGTCGTCTGTTGGTCCTGCTGCCAAAAATACTGGATTGATCCTGAAGGCGCTCATTTCCTCCGACACACACGTCTGAGGTTTTTATTTACTTCTCATCTCTCCGGTTGAAGCTAAACCGATACGACGTCTTCTTCATCTCAGCCAAGCGTATAAATAATTTCTTTTCAAGTGCAAACGACCGACATGCATGAAAACTGGTGGATGGAGGCAACCCTGACGTTGGAGTTTATCTCCAAACACATAAATAAAGATGAAAAAAAGCCCCACTTCATTCTGTTTCCAGCTTTATGCTAAGCTAAGCTAACCACGTCACGCAACGCTACGCCTCACGTCTGGATTTTTAAGCTTTACGAACAACTTCAATGTAATTTTTCCTCATTTGTCGCGAGAAAATCAAACTTTTCAGGCTCAAATGAGACAAAAATCACATTTCAGAGGCAGATAACCACCAGAAGCTACAGCTGTGGGCTTTAATGGAAACACAAGCAGCAGAAAGACAAAAAAAAAAAACCCTTCATCAATGAGTGTTTTAAAGGTGAAGCGTCTGACTGACTGACTGACTGACTGACAGCACTCCTGGTGTGGCTCTGGGGTGATTAGAGGGTAAAACCTCGGCAGGCTTAAGCAGCAGCAGTGATTAGGACAATAATAACTCGCCGCTGAACGCACGCTGTTGATCGGGTTTCATTTGGACACTTTCGGGGTTATTTTTTCCTTCTTTCTTTTCCTTTCTCACTTCTCCAATTCTCGCGAAAGCACTAAAAAAAAGTCCCCAAACCGTAGGAGGACGTTACTACCAGTAACCCTGCTGTGGGTTCACGAGAACGTCTCACCGCTTCAGAGAACGCTTTGAACTACTGGGGATCCATTCAACTTCAACATGTTTGATACGCTCGCAAAACATCCGTCTGACTTTAAATTGACAATAATGTAGAATTTGTCCTAATTATCAATCTAAGGTGTCATTTCAGGAGGAAAAAAGCCGCTTTAATGCACAAATCAAGAGCCATCGTTGCTATTTTTTAAGGCGTTGATGCTAAATTCGGGCTCAGTTGATGGAATAATAATGGGTTGTAATATGTAAAGGAGTCCAGGTGACTTTTATTTATGTATTAATGAGGTTTTGGGGGTAAAAAAATACCAAACAGCGTCAAAGAAACCCCTGAATTAAGGCTCCTTTAAGGTAAAAGCCAAAGCAAATAGATAGTTTTCATGTTATTTTATCTACTTTAGAGGATTTTACATCTTAAACGGAGCCAACAACACATTAAAAGTCCATTCGAATCGTTAATTAGTACATTAAATAACTTAAAAAGGGAAAATATAAAGTGTTTTAGGTTCAAGCTTCGTGTCACTACAGTGATTTCCACATGAAACTTCAAATATTCGACAAATTCTTTATCATAAGTTTATAATTTTACATCAAAAATCCAGTTATTTGCTTTAAACGATGCCCATAGCAGCCTCGTTTACAACCATCTCTGGAGTCGTGATCTTAATTAAAGAACTTGGAGTCGTTTAAGGTTGATCTTAATGGACGGTTCTGTTTTAAAAGCCTTGAGCTCATTTGGTGGATCAGTAAATTCCAGTTGGTGAATTATCCCATTAAAACATCCTGTTTGTCCTTAAAAGGCAGATTTAAGCCATTCTGAGGTAAAACACTTCCTTAAACGTTAGTCTCTTTGTTGATATAATTGAAAGCTGTAATGATCCGACTATGAATGAACCCTCCAGAGATGAATAAAGTACTTGAAGGATTAATTAATTCGTTGATACTAAATAAAAGCATTTCGGTGATTAAAACCTGAATTTGACCTTTAACTCCTTTAAAATCTACTGAAACTACCTTTAAATGCAAGACTTCCATACTTTTTTAAAATTTGCCCCTAAAACCCCGACTGAACTGCCCCGTAGCCAACTTTAAAGTACCTTCATATATTACAACAAGCCATTAAATATTGCATTAAAATGTCACCGTCATTCTTAAAAAGCTCATTTAAAATACTTCAGGGTAAAACACATGATTTTTCTCGTCATTTTAAGGACCTTAAATGATATTTTTTAACGTTTTATCGTGTGCTGACGGGGAATTGCCCCTTTGAGGGATCAATAAAGTGACTGAATCATGAATTATTTGACTGATATTTGGCAAAACCGGTTGTTTAAGTAATTTCAGTGAATGAAAACAGCCCAAAACCACGACAACAAACGTTAAATCCACTAGAAATACTTTGATATGCAGCAAACTATTGACTGTTCACCTCAAGTGAAGAACTTAGAGCCTTATGAGGAGGACTTTAATGGACGAATGAGGCTTTACCTCTCAGAGCACCCCGAATCAGAGCCTAAAATCCATTAAAAGCAACTTGTTTTTGCATAATTTGGTGTATTTTGAGGCAAAACTAATGACTTTTTACTTGATTTCAAGGATCCTAAATGATATTTTGTTGCGTGCCGACTGAGGGACAAATAAAATAACTATCTGACAACAAACTTTCATGTAAGTGATGCAAACAAACCCCAAAACCAAGAAACACACACCTGTGTCAGGCCTCCAGCCCCTAAAACCCACCGGGAAAGCTTTGACATGCAGCAGCTCACTGAGTTTTCACAGAGTTCAGCATTTTAAGGTTGAAATAACGACGCGCTTTGAGATTTCTTCGGCTTAATTCAACCACAAAACCATTTTGAAACACCTTCTTATGCTGCAAGTCATCAGTTAAACCATAAAACCGAGTTAGAAGTGTGACAATGGGACGCTTCAGCTACAGTTTCAGATGTTATTAATAGTTTTTTAAAGGCCTTACTCTTTAGAAACAGCTCTGCGTTCAGCGCTGCTTTGGAGCTTTTACGCAGACGTGTCATTTGAAGGCGGATTGTCATTTTAAGCCCCAGTAAAATATGTATGTACAGTGCGTTAACTCTCCCGTTACCTGCCTCGGTTACAGCGGCGCGTTAACGGGAGAAGCGCCGGTATTTGAAGGCACAAAGTTGAGGGATCCAGTTTCACAGTAGGACACTGTGTCCCGCTGCCATGCGAGCCGCCGCCGGTGACAGGCGGACCACTCTCACCTTCTCCTGCGCCCTGGTGAGCCTCTTCTGGACGTTGATGGCCAGCTTCCCGGCGGTGACCCCTTTCCCTATCTCGGCCATGTCACGCAGCTCCCCGGCGGTGTCAGGACCAGCGAAGACGGAGGAGAGGAGAGGGAGAAATGTCGCTGAAGGAGAGCCTCCTCTGGATGCCGACGGTGCGTAAAACCCCTCCGGAGGGCGACCTGCGCGTAACTCTAATCCCGTTGACAGCTTCTTAAAGGTGCAATGCGTAATTTAATCCGGTTTGTGTGTGACAAAAACAACCAAAACAATAAAAAAGCGGGTGCAGTTTGGCGGACGGAGCAGAGGGACAGATCCAGGTAGCGTCCTGGTCTCGGCTCTTACTGTTAATTGATGGAGACTTGAGCTGGATATGGAGAGATATTAGGTTTCCTCCTCAGTCACCCTCTTAAAGGCGCAGCAGGTTGTTATTATTAGCCGACAACTGTTGCATGCGTGTGGCTGCCTTTACGCACGGCCTTATTTATGCGCACAGAGCTGCTTCCTGGGACGTGGGGGTCTAAATCAGTCCTCGTCCTCCCCCCAAGAGGCGCAACATTCATCAGCGGCAGGAAAAGACTGACTCACACTCAGCAGAGCACACCTGCTGCTCACACAGGAAGCCAGCAGGTGTCAGGCAAGGTGCGCTCAGGTGATCCTTCGTCTGCAGAAACCACATGAACACCATCTTTAACTGGAACATTTGAAGTTCTACAGTTGATTTGTAATCAATAGAAGTAGCTTACAGCCATTTTTAACTGAAGGCCAACTGAAGACATGAGATAAAACTTATAAGACTTGTGTTTTCCCCCCCAAAGTATATCTATTCTGTGTTCAATACTAGCATTAAGCTAAATCAATGACCTGTTGATGGTTCTGTGATGTTTACTGGACCAGTTGTTGAGTGTTAAATGAAGGAATGTAAAAAAGAAGGAAAAAGAACCCAGAAGAGACTTTAAGCCCTTAAAACCTGACTTGAATCTTTAATTTCTGCATTTCTACAACAACAAAAAAGACTTCTGTCCAAAAAATATCTCATTTATTTTCACTTTCAGATTTAATCTGTTTATTAGCTCCTGTTTTTTGGGGATGTTTACTCTAAAATGTGGAGAATTTGTTGTTATTGACAGTTTTGGCCTGTTTATTTACGCCTAACATGTAAAAGATTGATTTTTTTCAGTGATTTTGCTCAATATTAACTGTGATTTAACAGAGAATTGGAGAATTGCAGTAAAAAGTGTTTTATAGTGTTCATGTTAACCCTAAAAAAATAGCCACACAAAAAAAACTATATATTTTTTTTGGACAAACAATAGTTTCTTTTACGGTGTGTAATCATCAAAATACTTTTATTGTATTTAAATCATCTAAAAATGCATTATTTTCAAAATACTGGCTCCTATTTTCACAGTTCCTCCAGTTTTGAACATTACAGGATTCTTAATGTATTTTTCCTGCCACATCATTTTATTTTATTTTTTGCACATTACCCAGAATGCATCAGCTGCTGCTCAGACTCAGGTGTGCTACGCTAGCAGCAGCTGATGCAGCTCCAAGCCTTCAGCCTGCAGCAGAGACGAGAC